AGGGGGGAGAGAAAACGGTGTGGGGAGGCACATCACCTCACTCGGGCTTCGTTACGAGTCTGTGGTGGTGTGCTGCAGATCTGCACCATGGAAAAGCAAGTGCTGGAGTCCTCTGAGGAGCGAACATTTCAGTACCAAGATTCACTGCCTTCCCTGCCGGTACCTCCTCTCGATGAATCTCTAAGTAAATACCTTGATGCAGGTAATGATTTAATTTTGTAATAGTAGTGTGGTGTGTGCTGTTGTAACCTGGCTAATCTGAAGACGTTTGCGAAATAGTTTGTAGAGGCAGCTTGTATCAATTCATGGAATTGGGGTGGAGATCCAGACAGGTTTAGAGTGCAGAAGGGTTTTTTCAGGTTCAAAATGGGAAACCAAGTGCCCAGAGCAACCTGAGTAAGAGTTTCCTTTTTATCCCTATTTGCCTTTCTTCATCGTGGAAGGGAATTGGGCAAGTCGGAAGATTAACTTTCTGGTTAGAGTTTTTCCCCCCGCTAAGGTTTTGGGTTGGGTCTATTCCCCGTCACCTGCACTACATCATAATAAAAGATGTTTCATCATCTACAAATGTCACTTTTTGTAACTACTCTGCTTGTTTATGACTGTGTTTGCCCAGGATCTTTGGAAAAAAACCCAGTTATTTCAAACTTCTTCACACTTAAGCATTCTTCTTTCCCACCAATACTGTTACTGTGCAGTAGTAGAAAAAGGCAGTGGTGGGCATTTTTGGGTAGTTTAACCTGGATAATTTCTGCCTTGAAATGTTGGCTGTCTAAAGAAGATCTCATAAGAGAAAAGTTTCTTAAAAATCATGTTTAACAACGTATTTCAACACATGTGTCTAGCTTTATTTATAAAGCAGAGACAACTGGTTAGTTCTTTATTATCATAGCAGGCATTGATATGTTGGGGATGACAAATATACATTACCTGGTATCTTGAGCTCACTTTCCTGTGTTTGTTTAATAATTTTCAGAACGCAGAGTCATTGAGCTTTTTTTCTGGAACATCTGCTTTGTGTCTCATCATCTTACCTGTAACACAGGAATGCTAACAGAGTAAGACCTAGAGTTCTGACCTTAGGAGGAACACGTTGCACCAAAATTTCCCTTTCCCGAAACAAAAATCTTCAAGTTCACTCTGAGTTGCCTTTTATTCCTAGTATAGTGGAGAGGGCCCAGTAGGTGGTAATAGGTTTTCTTTGCTCGTTTTGATGCAGGATGTTGAAATGGTGGGTTTAGAGAAAAAATGTTCTGTCTGTATGCATGTCAAAAAAACATTTTGTTGCAGTTCAGGTGTGCCGCAATAGTAGGAAATCTGCAATAACAGAATTGCCCTTTAGCACTTAGTTTGGTAAACCCAGCTGGCTCTCCAAGATGACAACTAACTCTCTCATGGAGTGATAAAATCTGACAATGAATATGTTTGCTCTTGTTTTCTGATTCTGATCTGTGTTTGCAGAAACACCTTGTCACCTGTCCCTTTTTTTTTCTTCATGCTGAAGTGACTTCCTACTTACAGTGACTTGCACATAAGTTGTTCTATAACTTTGATAATCATTGGTGATCTCCTTTAGTCTCAGTGGAGGCTGGAGGAAAGTTAGTCCAGTATTTTTTGTTCTGCCACAGTCTTCTCTTGTTAAATCACTTAAGCCAGAATGTGCAGTGCGCAATTCTAGACACTAGATTGGTGATTCTCATAGCTTGAGCTCTTAGTTTGTTTAGTCTGTGTAGGTGAGTGTTGGAAGGGAGGCGCTTCTGAAGAGCGATTCAGAAACTCCAAATGACCCTTCATAGATGCTGTGAATCATTCCTTGGACGCTCCTGTCTTTTATTGGTTGGAGGAGGACCCCAAGCACTCAACATTAGTCAGTGTTCCTGTTGATAAAGCACTTGTCTGTTTAAAGCCAGTCAGCTGGAAAAGCTGGGCACAGTGTGTGTCAGAAGTGCCTTATTTAGGGCTTTACAGTAGCTGCCTCTGCTTTGGGTTTGGAATGACTAACCTTGTTTTGAAGGTAGGTCTTGAGCAGAGAACATGACTGTAGCCATGTTATTTAGCCTTTTAGCTCACCCTAGATGTTGAGACTCAGAAGCTTGGATTCAGCTAGAGAGTATGAAAACGCAAAGCTCCAGCTTTCCAGAGGATTCCTTAACTATGCAACTGAAAATATCTTCTGTGGGATAGTTCTTGTTGATGGATGGAGCCAATCTGTGCAGAAAGGAAGACAAGATCTGTGGGCCTGGAGAAAGTGACAAGAGAGCAGTTTCACTGAATTCTAGTGAGAAAGGGGATGAGTTCTGCCGCTTCCTAATAGCGCTGCTTCTACATCTGATCAAATAGTTTTTAAATGGAAAGAGGCCCTGTAATCGTAGAATCACATAGCTTGGGAAGGGTTCATCTAAACCAGATCCCCGCTTGAAGTTGGTCCAACTACAGCAAGTTGCTCAGGCCTTGCTTAGCTAAGTTTTGTATATCTGCAAGGATGGAGATACTGCAGCCTTTCTGGGCGACCTGTTCTGGTGTTTGGTCACCCTCACCATTGTGGGAAGGGGAGCAAAGAACAAACCAGCAGCGACAAAAAAAAATTTCTTTGTCAGAAATTTCCTGTGTTCCAACTTGAGTGCATTTTCTCTTTTACTGTTCTTGTGCATCTCAGAGAGGAGTCGTGCTTTATCTCTGCTGTGCCTTTCCATTCAGTTGTTATAGAGTGCAACAAGGTCTTCCCTTTGCATTCTCTTCTTAAGCTGAACAAGCTCAGTTCTCGGCCTCGTCTCATCATTATGTGCTCCAGTCCCCTAGCAATCGTGGTCACCCCTCGAATAGGGACCAGAATTCAGCAATTGTGCCTGTTTTCTTTCTTGTGTGTGTGTGCTATTGCTCTGTAATGACTTTGCAACTTGAATAACAGAGGATAATCGCTCTCTTACAGCATTATGTGGTAGTAAGGTCACTCTCTGGGAAACCTGAGTGTTGGACTACCCTCAGTCTGGGGAGGTTTTCAACTCCAGATTTCCTGGGTGAATACTGTAAACTGCTAAGTAGTGTACGTAGATGGCTCTGTCGCTGTTGTTTCTTTTTTCATCTCTGTTCACAACTGATGGTGGTACAATTCAAGCTGCTTCTGGATACTGTTTATATTGACTTTAACAAGGTGTTTGGCACCTCAAAAGTTTGGGATTTTTTTGAGATTTTTTTTTTTTTTAACTTCCTCAAAGATGAACTGATGAAGCCTGGACTTGTTAGTGGACAGTCAGGTGGATTGAGAACTGTCTTGGCTGCCAGGCTCAAAGGTTTGTGATCAGCAGCACGTATTCCAGATGTAGGCCAGTCTCTGATGGTGTACCCCAGGGGTCCAGTATTGTTTAACATCTTCATTAATGACCTGGATGATCGGACAGAGTGTATGCTGGGTTTGAAAATGATGCAAAGCTGGTGATGATCCAGGTGGTTGTACTGCCATCAGATGGAGCTTGACAGACTGGAGGAACAGGCTGACAGTAGCCTCACGAAGTTCAACAAACCAAGGGAAATGCCAAGTCGTGCACCCAGGGAGGAATAACCCCCCACGCCAGCACATGCTGGGGCCTACTGGCTGGAAAGCAGCTTTGCAGAAAAGCCTCTGGGGTCCTGGTGGACATGAAGTTGATCATGAGCCAGCAATGTGCCCTTGCAGCAAGGCAGGCCAGCAGCATGCAGGGCTCTGTTAGAAGGAGCGATGCCAGCAGGTAGAGAGAGGTGATCCATCCCCTCTCTTCAGTGCTGAGGAGGCCACATCTGGAGTGCCGTGTCCATTTCTGGGCTCCCAAGTACAAGCAAGACATGGACATACTGAAGTGACCCCAGCGAAGGGCCGTGAAGGTGATTAGGGGCTTGGATTATCTGACATACGAGAAGAGACTGAGGGAGCTGGGACTGTTCAGCCTGGGGAATAAAAAGCTGTAGGGGGATCTCTTCAATGTGTGTAAATACTTGATGGGGAGGAGTAAAGAAGACAGACATCGCAGTGGTATCCAGTGACAGGACAAGAGGTGGTGGGCACAAATTGAAATAGAAGAAATTTCTTTTAAGCGTAAGAAAGCTCTTTTAATTGTGCAGTGGTTAAGCACTGGAACAGGTTGCTACCAGGGAGGCTGCAGATTCTCCATCCTTGGAGATACTCAAAACTCAGCACAGTCCTGAGCAGCCTGCTGTAGCTGACCCTGCTGAGATGAGGTGTTGGGCTAGATGATCTCTAGATCTGTGAAGAAGAAAAAAGTAGTGGTTGCAGGGAAGCAGCTTTAATTGCAGGAGAACATAAATGTGAGGAAGTAAGACTTTAATTCAACAAAGATAGGTAAGTATTTGAGACCTGCCCCGCGGAAAATCCGTTGTTACTTGCAAAAGCTAGATTAGAGATGAAACAGATACACAATTACTAAAAAAATCAAACAAGTATCCTTCCTCGTATCTGAACAGTTGTAACTATATCACAGGATTAGCACTAGCAAGGCAGACAAGAAATTAACTGACAGTACTGTCCAGCAGCCTCAAAAATGAATCAGACCTCATTGTGTAGGCACTGAATCAGCAGAAACTACTCCTGTTTGCCACTGACTTCACGAAGTACAAAGGTAATAGAATATAAGTTATACACAAGGTGAGTATAAGAAGACGATGTGATGTGCCTGTATGGAAACTGACATCAGCACTGCCTGTTGCTGACCATAGATTGAATGGTAAAAAGGCTTTAAGGAGGCTTTAGATGAAAATGATGATTAGTTTTGCAAATTTATGCAGAGAACTTTGGCCTGTATGGCACATGGTCTGAGAGAAATCCAAAAGTATTTTAAAATAAAAATTGAATAGTAGTAAATGCCATCAGTGTTGTTCAAAGGTAGTCATAACATGGGGACAGTGAATGAGAAGTGATGGACAAGGTGCTGGTAGATCATGAATGGACTTTTAATAAAGGCAAGTAGCTTATGGTTGGTGCCGCAGGGTGCCAGACATGTATGGCTCAATGCATTCGTTTACAAAGTTCCCGTAAATTTCATTATTCAGTGAGTTCTGTGGCAGCTGATGGAGTTGTAGAACTCCATACTATTTTCAGTTACAGTTAAATCTATTGGATGTAGTTATCCTTTAGGTATTTCAGGCTTTCAGTAATTGCTTTTATCTGCCAACATCTGTACTTAGTTAAAAGTTTGTATTTATGTTTTATTAGAACACATGGGTTTATTGACAGATTTTTAAAAGGTGTTTTCCCTTCAAATACTTGTTTTAGAAAAATAGATTTTAAGTCTTTTCATCCACTCCCTTGCCTGTGGATATCTGAATCTTGGAATAAATCTCAGTATGTGGTTGTTTTTAAAATAAAAACATTGCCTTTTTACAGTGAAGCCATTTCTAAATCAAGAAGAAAATCAAAGAACTGATGATATTGGAGAGAGCTAAAACGAGAAGGAATTGGGTATGTATTTAGATATGTAAGAAATCATAATACAGCTTATGTAAAGTTGGTTCTTCAGGATATAATTTAGAGAGTCATTTAGGTTTTTTTAGCTTAGGATCTTCCTTATATCTGCCACTTGGCCTGTGGATGTGAACACATTCACTTGTATACATGTAATTTGTTTATTTCAAAGTTGAGTGGCTAAGAGACCTCACTAACAGAAATGTTGTTACCTACCAGCTTTTGAATGCTTTGTGTGTCAGTCTCTTCTTCTGTCACCTCCATCCCCGCTCTTTCCACGCTGCCGAAAAAAAAAAGAGTTAGTTTGGGCTCTATCTCTTTCTTTCCCGAAGAAGGCTATGTGATAGCATTTTAAAGTTGTCTTTCAACAGATGAGGGGATACAAGGGAGGTCATTAACTAGTGGAATTCATGAGAACTTTGTAAATCTTAGCATGACACACTCCAGAGTGGGGATTTCTTCATTATAATTTACAGTTTAATAGTCTTAAGCAGTATTGAATTTTATTTCAAGCTTGAAAATAGAAAAGCTAGATGTTGTGTTACCCTCAGCAGTTAGTTCTGAACCACTGTGCTGCCTTCTGTAATATAGAAACGAATATTCCAAATATTAAAAAAAAAATAAAAAGAGCAGGCAGTTGAACAATCAGATGATTAGTGAAGAATTAATGACTAAAACTTAATTCTAATGCTAAATGTTTTTTATTTTCAGCTGGAGGACTGGTGGCTGAATGTGGCTTATCTTGATCTTCGCATATCAACACAAATACACTGTAATATGGGAGGCCCTGGTCCCTATATTGAACACTGCTGGCCACCCAAAGAGGGCACTCAGATAGAAAGAGCATGTGTATATATATGGCACACCCTGAAATACTGGGATCTACTACGAGCGTAAGACTTCAAAAAAAAAATTGATTCTAAATATTAATGATCTATGTATACTTTAGTTGCAGAAATATGTTTATGTTCATCGGCGTGTGTTCTTTGCAGTAAAAGATGGGTTTGTCTTACCTTGATTTACTTGCATAATTATAATCTCTGTTGTTTAATTTTGTTGTATTTATTTACTACAGAGAGAAGGTGGCTATAGAGAGATCTGGGAATGCTGTTCTGGACATGAACCAATTTCGAATGCTCTTCTGCACTTGCAAAATTCCTGGAGTTACCAGAGACTCAATTGGCAGTTATTTTAAAACTGGTAAACAAGTGCAAATTGGGGGTTAATACAAGCAAATGATTTTGTATTAATGGGCTGATAGAGTGGTCATTTTAACCATAAAATACTTGCTTCCTCAAGCACTAAGTCAGATACTGGTTGTTGAGTGCTTATATAAGGAAGCAAAGCAGATATCTAACCTACAAATGCTCTTTTTCGTCCAGTATTTAGTCCCTACTAAATAACATTAAAAGAAAGCTCTGCTTCAAATTGTATGTTACCAGCCTGATGCCTGTAGTAAGTGTGGCAGCATTAAGAATTGAAAAAAAACAAATTCCATGTGTTATAAATGTGGGTGGGGTCTGTGTAATACGCAGACAGAATTTCAGATCCATTATTAATTGGACGTTTTTTCACAGAATGTGTTTTTAGAGTGTGCTTCCTTACATTTTGTTGAGATAATTCTTACTTATTTTCTGTCATTGTGCTGTGTCTTGGCTTGGTCAGCTTCTTCTCTTTTCAGTCGAGAAAGTATTCCATAGTGCTTCTTGAAGCCATTCTGTTAAGCTCCCAACAATTTTCTGGGGTGCAGGATCAAGAGCTAGAGTAAAAGCGTGATGTTCTTATCCGCCACTAACAAATACTGTAGTATCAGTAATCAGCTAACTGAAATCGTCACACCCCTCCCATGCACATTCTGGTGCGTCCAGAGTTGTTCAGCAGTGTCACTGTAGGTAATCATGGGAGATGTGAATTCCTGTAAGACTCAGGAATTCAAGAAGAAGGAGGTACTGTCTTGCTCAACAGAAAATACGTAAGGAAATCCCCATACCACAGGACATGACAAGAAAATGCAAAGTTGAAGGCAAGTTTCAAGGGTTTTATCTTAGCGTTAGAGAGTCACTTTAAATACCAAGATGTAGAAGAAACATTGAAATGGTGGAAATTCAATGTTCTGTTATGATCACGCTTAATAAACAAAGCTGTTGTCCTGGGGAGATGCTATTTATGTCATTCATGTCCATTTTCTGCCTTAAAATATTGTAAGAGCTTTATTAAACAGTCTTGCTTATATAATTTTTCATGTCATACACAGCAGGTGATATCCATTTTCATGTAGATTGTCTGCCTCCAGATGAAATATTTGGTCGAGTTAGTTGTCTTGTTTCGCTGCGATTCATGGAGAGATAACAATACCTCCACAGAAGGTTTTTGGCCATCAAAACGTGCGTGTATCTAAGACAGGCAGAAGGAATTTCCGTCTGGAGGGGGATCCATTTTTCACCTTTGGACTACAGAGGGAACTGACATGGTCTAAACACTCGAAGTAGTATTCAGATTGCAGAGTAGGGCACCTAAAATTTTGACAGGTAATGTCAACTTGGAGTCAAAGACCGCAGTAAAAGTCAAGAGAGCCTGATCAGTGAAGCCTGGAGAGCTATTCGGTTCAGCCTGCAGCAGACACCTTAATGAGAACAGGTGAAGGGCTCATTAGATGCTGTTAAGTGTATTGGGTGGATCTCCACCAACTGTAGTGAGATCTCAGACACTTGATTCTAGGCATGTTAACTTCCAAACTTAATTCTACCCCTTGCTTTAGACAACTAAGGTTAGGAGGATGCTACCTGAAGTAATGGAATTTTGTGTCATCCCTTCTGATTTTTGTTATGTTAGAAATCAATTTCATGATCTATGAATGTGAGGTTTACATGAAATGACAAATTCCCCACTCTAGAATGTCCTTAATCAGGTATGTATTGAATTGTATTATCTGATTTAGAAAGTAGGACCATAAAAGTAGATGTAAATACCTTACAGTTAAGACTAAGACTTCTGTGGATGCCCATTCAGTTAAACATCTGTGGGTAAAGCAGCATACTTTCCTTCTTTTTCCCAGGTTGGAGTACTGGACTAGAAGAGGTGTAGCACAGTGGCTCCATCTGAGAAAAACATACCCATGTTTATTGGGGTTTTAACATCTGTTTTTGTCAGAATCTTTTCCAGCTTTTAGTCTTCTTTCCAGATAGGCGGATTCAATAAGATGGTACTATGCAAGTGTACCTGGCCTTGTGTCGGCCAGTACCATCTGCATTTCTGGATAGTGGCCAGATTAGTGTGTCAGTGCTCCCTTTTTACAGATTTGCAGATTACAGATCAGGTCTGATTCACGTGGTAGTAATGCATCTTGGATCTTGAGCTGCGTAACTGAAGCTGGCTGCACAAACACTCCGAGAACTGAAGGACTCAATCATCTGCAAAGAATCTTAGCAGCAGGCTTGCTGCATTATATTAATCTCTTAAAAAAAAAAACAAAAACCAACCCAAAAAAACCCAAAACAGCCAAAACTCATGCAAGAGAGAAATGTTGCTAGATCATCTTTCAGCAAGCAACACTTGTTTCGGCAGAGGGTGTTCCTGCTTATACACAGGTTATTTGTTATACACAAATAACATTTGCTACTAGGTAATGACAAGGACTTGAAGTAGCTAACAGTGAAAGTGATGTACTTCTGTATATTTTCTCTTGACACTTTTAAAAATGTCTTCAAATTTGCTATAAGATCATGCAATTGGACTTCAAAAGTTTTTTTTTTCTTCTTTTTTATTCTTTTTTATTCTGTTTTTAACTGAATAAAGTCTGCCTCATTTTGAACAAAATATGGGGCTGTACGACTTGCTGAGTGTTTTTCCTGTATCTGTCACTCACTTCAGCCCCACAGTTGGATTTTCATGTTTTGTTTCTTTTTGTTTCATTTCAGAGACTGAAGGAGAGTGCCCATCTCACTTAATAGTACTGTGTCGAGGTCGAGTGTTTGCATTTGATGCTATACATGAAGGCAATATGGTGACTCCTCCAGAGATTTTCAGGTTTTCAAACTACCTTGTTTCAAATGAGCTGTCCTATTTAAGCTACATACTGAACACAGTCTTTCTTCTTCTATCCCCTTCACCCCAAAGAATTAGGTGTGAGAGAGCTTACAGCTTCTCTTCTAGCTGAGGGTTCAGATTTGAGTAAATTCTTGTTTAGTGGACGGTATCTTCTTGCTATGAAGCATGATGATCCTGTACTGTTGTAATACGCCCATAGAACATCATGCAAAAAAGGCTGAATGAAGCTGTTTTAATAGGAAACAAAATTTCTATGTGAAATTTCTTGACATGGAATTATTAGGATTATAAGTAACATCATTCCTTTCAGGATCAATCCATGCTGATAATTGTCTCATTGCTACTTACTCATTATCAAAGATGAAGCACCACTGTCATGTTGATTCAAATCTAATGCACTTGTGGTCAATTTTCTCCAGAATAGTGGGGCTGGAATTCCTCTTGGTGAGTGCAGCAGGGTCCAAAATTGCAGTATACACTGATTGACTTTCTGCTAGCTGCAGAACAATACAGCAGCATTTCACTTGCATTTCTTGGCTTTGCGCCAGAACTGTGACAACCAACCATGTTTGTGGCTTCTTTCATGTTCCTGAGCTGCTGCAAAGGATCAGAGAGAAAGAATTTGGTTCTTTAAATAGTAAATTTCAGTACTAGTGCAACTGGCAGTGTTCAAAGCTTTTCCGCGCTGTATCTCCTATCTCCCGGTAGCATGCAGAGGTGCCAGCTTTTCAAATTGGCGGTACGGTTGTGGCCACAAGGTTTTTTGCTCTGTTCGTTGAACTCTGATGTCACATACAGAGGTAGTTTCAGCAGAATTCTCTTGTAGTCAGTTTTGGATCTGTAGATGCGCATCTACTTACTAAAGAGGTGTTGTGCGTTTCCTCTCGGAATGACTTACTGCATCTGTCAAAGTGCTGTTAATAGAGCACAACAGAAGACATTTGTAATTAAAATTAGCAAAAGATGGGTGGCGAAATTCCTTAGGCAAGACAAAAACTAGTTAGAGAAGCTCAGAATAATTTTTTTTTTTTTTAAATCTGGTACTTTAGTGCTTAAGATATTTCAACATATGTATTTCAGATTTCTGTAGTTTTACTTGTTAGATCAAGCAAGTAAGAAAGAAGTGAGCGCCTGGAATATAGACAAAAATCCCAAAGCTTTCTCTTGTCTGTAGAAAGGGCAGGTTTGGTTTTGGTTTGGTGGTTGGTTGGTTTGGGGAGGCCTTAATAACCTCATCATGAGTGTCTTATACTTTTGACAACTATGTAGCTAATGATCAGTAGTGAAGTTTAATGGGCAAGAGTGCCAGAACAAAGGACAAGCTAGTTTAAATGCCTGTAACTTGTGGAGTTTCTTTAACACCTAGAACAGCATGTGAAAAACTGAATTTGCAAACTAAAAATTAGCTCTGTTAATAGCTCTCCAAAGGGAAAATGTAAGGAAAAGGTAGGAAGAGAAGTATTCCTGTGTTGTTCAGCCTCTACATTTAGGATATGCTGTAGCTACTGCTCTGCTTTAAATTTCAGGGTTTGTCTTGAGTGAGAGTTTTGCCCTTGTATCTGATTAGTTGCTATAAAAGCTTCAAAGCTCCAGTATTGAAGATGTCTGTTGCTCAGGAAAGTTTGATCTGCACTCCTGAAGTCTTAATTTAAAACTATATTTAGTGCATAGTAACACTTTAGGATCATGGTTGTTTACATGTAAGATTGTACTGGGCTGGTAGCTGCAATTTGAATTAATGATTAGTGACCGAAAACAAGGCTGGTCATCAGCTGCTCTTAGAGTCTGCAGGAGCTGATTCATGCTTCCTGTAAATTCACAGTAGCTTGTGAGTGTGGAACCAAAATTCCAGCTTGGCAAAAGAGAGAGAGACAAAAAGGGTGACTTTTATCTTCTCTCCATACGTTCTTTGTTAACTTCAGTTTTTGAAATCTTCTTAAAGGCAACTTACTTATATACAGAGAAGATGCCATAATGAACCAGATGGACCAGGAGTGGCAGCCCTAACAAGCAACGAAAGGACAAAATGGGCAGAGGTGGGAACACTTCAACAGTTGATTCCTAAGAAAAGTGTTGTGATCACTGGAAATAAGTCATTTCACTTAGCTTTGTCTCTTTATGCTTTCCAGTTACGTGAATATTTGATTGATCTTGATGCAAAGAACTTAACTCTTCTGGAAAAAATTCAGAGAAGTTTGTTTGTGGTCTGCCTCGATGATTCTAGTCCCCATGCAACTCCTGAGGACTACACTGAGGTACCTGAGGATTTTTGATAATTCATATCTGGCCTTCTTTATATAGTAATTTCTTCTGTGTATATGCAGAAGTGCCACATCTTGTTCTTTCGGAACAGAGAAAATGAAACAGATAAATAGGAAAATTATGCTTTTTGTTCATCCATAGGAATACTTAAATAGTTTGAATTGTTAGGACATTAGATGTGGGAATGACAGAAATATACCTTTATAATTTTATAAATATTAAAAAAATTTAAATTTAGCAATGAACTTGTGATCACTCTTTAATTTAAAAATGTAGGCTTATAATCGTCTTTCATCTTCAGCTGATGAGAATGTCTTACCTCTCAGGGAGGTCTCACCATCTTCATGTATGCCTGATTAGCTAACAGAGGTTGACAGTGTACTCAGTGTTTTTTAAAACCCACAGTGTGTAACTTTTGCTTTAGCTTACAAGGTTGGGGCTAACAGGTGATCCGACTGTTCGCTGGGGAGACAAATCCTACAACAGTATATTCTTTTCCAATGGAACCTGTAGCGCATTCTGTGATGTAAGTTGAAAATTCTTTTCCCCCTTATAAACCTTCCAAGTATTTATTTACTAAGTTTTCCCTTTCAGAGTATTATTTTAAATGTTTGATGTGTTCCTCTTTAGTGTAGCCTTGTTTACCAGGCACCTTGTCTTGCAGATTTCCAAAAGCAGTCTGCTTTCACAGTGTTTGCTATTATACCATACTTACTTAAATTAAGAACATGAGATCCGATACCATAGTCTTGTTTCTAAAGTGTTTGAGGGACTTCCAAAGACAAAAGTATATTGCACATGAAACCTTAAAATTAGCTTTCTGTATTAGGTAGCTATTTGAACAGCTGTGTTTTTTTAAACTCGGATTTTTTTTTGAACTCATTATTGAATGGCCAGAAAGATCTACATCTTGCTTAAAATCTGCTTTTCCTCAGCAGTGGTTTGTTGTGCCTCCCTATCTGGCTGCAGAGCAGTCAAAACAGTGGGTGGACATACAGTAGTTCTGTCTGTATTGTAGAACTAGAAAAACAAGTCCAACACTGTGCAGTAAAGCGGTTCGTCTGCAGGAAAAAGAGTAGGGTAAGGAAAAAAGCAGTTTGGTCCTCTTGTAGTTACGCAAATAATGTGGTATCTTGTCTTGTATGATTCTAGCATTCTCCTTTTGATGCCATGGCTTTAATTACCATGTTGTTATATGCCGAAAAGAAGATCATTGAAAATGAGGGAAAATGGAAGGTATCAATCCTCTAAACTTTCAAATGTATTAGTCAGTGTCTTTTCTTATGGATAACGTTTTCCATTTTCTCTGTTTCTTTTTGTCCACACCCTCCCAGGGATCAGATAAAGTGAGGGATATTCCATGGCCAGAGGAACTTGTATTCACAGTGGATCAGAAAATTATGAATGAAATTGGATGTACTAAAGAATTGTATTACAAAAAGGTGGAATTTCTTGCTGCTTCTCTTGTCACTGGTTTGGGGTTTTTTGCTTGTTTGTTTGTTTGTTTTTTCCCCCAATCTATTTGAATGTTTTTAGATGGCCTTTCTCCATGTTGGAGAACAGGGATGAATACGTTATTGATTAATTCATGTAGCAGGGGACTTAATACTATGATTTAATTTGTGACATTGTTAGTTTATGTTGAATGTGTTTTATTTGAAGTGAACCAGGTTGTGGTATTTACAGTTTCTTGACTTCTGTTTTTTTTCCTCCTGTGGTTTGACAGGTATCTGACTTGCAGCTAGTGAGTTATGCCTTCACATCCTTCGGCAAAGCATTGATTAGAAAGAAGAAACTTCATCCCGATACATTTGTGCAGCTTGCGCTTCAGCTGGCTTACTACAAATGCCATGGACGGTAAGAAAATCCCATTACCCAGATTAGAATAAAGAGCTTGAGTGAAGGGGTGGATCTTATAGCACAGTGGCCTTGCAGTGCCAGTGTGTAATTTTCTATGGTGATATAAGAATGAAGAAGTAAAGTGGTTTTTTGTTGTGTTGTGTTTTTTTTTCAAATGAACAGTTGCGTAGGGCCTTATTTTGCGCCATTGAACTCCATGGGGCTTGTGCTCTTGGCCTCAGAAGACTTGTGTCCTTGTGCCCATAAGGATCATGCGTGTACTTATTGTGGAATGGAGGGCAAAAGACAATGGATTTGGGCTGTACAAAGTAAATATCTGGGCAAACACCAAATGCGGAATGGGTCAGGATATCTTGATGTTGAGTAGTTGCTCAGGTGAAGAAGAAAGCTTTATCTGTAGCAAGTAACAGCCAGCAGTAAGATGGTTAATCTTCCAAGCCTGTAAGAAGCCTCGCAAACTTCTGTGTCTCACTTTCTTTAGCAACGGTGAATGTGGAGGTTTGGGCAGAATAATAGAGATGTAGATAGTGACACTCCAAATGCCTGATTCTACGTTTTGGGGTGTGTCATTTTATTTTGTATTATTGGTAAAAGGCAGCATTCTTCCTGCTGTTGGGGTACCCAAATTTCTGTTTGCTAATTAGCACTGACAACAACTTGTATAAGTCATTATTGACCTGGCGAGTATTGCTTGCTTCAGAAAAAGGAGGGTTTCATTGTATGAGCATGATGCTTAGTCACTGGAGATGCCTGTATCATCATAAGAAAGGCTGGTACATCTCATTTTGCTGAACATTGGAATAAATTAATTGTCTGACTGAAATAGCCAGTGAAGTCTGTTCTGAACACACAAGTATGTTTCATGAAAGTTGTATATTAAATGGTAGACTGTCATAGGGCTGAGGATGCTGCAGGTAAAAGCTGGGTGGGTGTCAGTATGCAACAGAGAAGGATTTGAGCCTTTTTCTTACAAGTGCATTGGGACACACTGTGTATTTCAAGTGTGTCTCTTAATATTTGAGTTTTTGGATGGTGTAGGTGGTTTCTTCAACGGAAATATACAGTGAAACTGAAGCTTGCATAATTTCAGCTTATTTATACTAGAGGCTGGCAGATCTGTAGTCTGCAGAAAATAGCCATGACAACCTAGTCTTTTCAAGGTGTGATTATAGCACTGGCACTTTTTTGCTGTCATCTGCTCATAAAAGCTCATGGAGTTCCTTTGTGGCTCTCTTTCAGACACAAAATTTAAAGAAAATTAGTGGCTTAGTCATACTTGTAACTGAGCTAGATGTGTAAGATACTTGGCAGGACTTTTTTATTCCTTGAGAGAGCAGATAGTTTTATCGGGTTTATGAGATGCTCTTCCCTAATTTTTCTTCATAGCCCAGGCTGCTGTTACGAAACTGCCATGACCAGGCGCTTCTATCATGGCCGCACAGAGACCATAAGATCGTGTACTGTGGAAGCAATGGAGTGGAGCAAGTCCATGCTGGATCCTTCTGCCAGTGTAAACACTGAAATGCTACTGTAATCATAATGTATTTAGAAAGCCTGTCATTTAAACTGCTTAAAACTCATTTTTCTATTGTCTCATTAATGGGAATTGGCCGGCTTCCAGTGAGACAGATTTCAGACGTTGGGTTCACTGAAGTCTGGCTCTGGTCATTATGACCGAGATGAGCTGTCACGTGTGGGCTTGTTCGGTTTTCTATCCTATTTACCTTTTGGTTTCAAGAATGTAAGTGTCTTGAATTATGTTCATACTGATATTTTTTTCACACCTCAGAAAGCAACTGGGTTGGAACCAATGTATTCTGCTCTGGAGTGGTTCCGTTGTTGTTTTAATTTTTAAGTGAAATCAGGAAATGTTAATCTAATCACTGAGACTGAGAGCAAGACTGAAATCTGTTTGTGTCCTGCTGGCGACAGGAATGCATTCCAGAGTTTGCTTCTGAATAGCTGAACCGGTGACCTTTTCTCTTCCCGGCAGCTATCCTCTGATGCTTGGCTGGCAGAGTATTTCACGCTTTTCTTGCCGAGGGAGGGCTGTACTAAAGCTCTTTCTGTTGTCCTCACTGCACGTTTCTCAGAGCCTGAGAAGTGAAACAGGGAGAAGATTTTGGAGACAAAGGGCTACGTATTTTTAGGAAATTTAAAGGTTCTATATTATTAATGCATCTGAGAAACATACAGGAATATGGCTATCAGGAATTATGTGTGATTGATAATTACAGTCTTCAAGAGTGTATTTTCCTGGTCTTTGCTGGGTTCTTTTGACATGTGCTGCAGCTTTGAAACTCAATTTTCTGTCGATTATTTGTATCTGCTTTCCTAGTGTGAATACAGATTCCTGTTATTTCCCTGCTCTTCAGTTATCTTCTAACCAATTAGCAGGTTTCTATGGGTAATACACAGAGGTTCATTGCTTCCAGCACTAACTGTAGCCGTTTTCTCTTTTCAGTTTTAAATGCCATCTTCAGATATCTTCCTATTGCTCTTTTTTTGTGGTGAACTCGTGGGCCTTAAAAGAAGCATTGAGTCTGTTAAATAGTACTGAAATTAAAATACTTAAAAGTCTACTTTTAAGGTAGTAGAAAATACCTAAAGTTAGGTACTTCAGAAAAAAATCCTGTTGTCTGAACTTTTCTTTAGCCACTTGTGAGCTTAGTAGCTTGATTTTTATCCAAATTGAGTGGCTACTGCCCTTGTTTCACATTCTTTGCTGCAGCCTCTCCTGTAACGAATAAAAGGAGAAAGGGTGCTTTTTAAGTAGTTAAGCAGCTAGTAAGGTCTAAGATCTTACAAGCCAAGTTCTTGGTTGTCTAGAGATGTTTCTCTAGGCCTCCTTTGCCAAAACCAAATGTGTTTGTATTCTGTTCTCTCTGGCTTCAATATGTAAATTTCAATATAAAATTGAAAAAAACGTAATGTAGGACAGAATTACTGTCATAGAAGTTATCAGAGAAGACTTTGGAATGCAGTTGGCATCTGTGTATATTTTAATTAGCGTCTTTTTTGTTTTGTTTTCTGCTTTTTCACAGAATTTTTTCTTGTTTGTTTTTTGTTTTTTTTTCATGAAAAATTATCTAGACCAGAATATTTCAGTTGGAAGGCACCTACAGTGAACATACAGTCCAACTGCCTGACCAGTTCAGGGCATGGTGATCATGTAAATGCAACTGCACCCGCTAAAAGCCAGTGTGTTTCTAAAGAGGTGGTACTGTAGGAAGTTTTTGGTTTTGATTACTCTATTTCACAGTGGCCATTTTCCACAGTTTCAGCTTGTTTAGGAAAGAGCATGAGGTTTAGAATATTGTTCATCGCAAAAGTGATCCGAGGAACAGAACAGTGATACAGGAAATAAATGAGCAAGTTCTCCTGAAAAAGGAGTTTGGATTTGGGATAAAGAGTTTGAGAGAGGTTCTAATGTACCTTTCAAGTTCCTCCATTTCCTTCTCCTTAAAATTGCTAGAAACTGTGAAAGGGAAAAACTTGCTGATCTGTGATTCCTGATGTGTTATTCATCTGGATTGTTTTTTCTTTTTTTTAATACTGTCTTCCCTGGCTTACACAGACTTACCAACGACTGCAGCTGATGCATAAAGCGTTTGCAAAGCACAATAAAATGAGGAAAGAATGTGAGAATGGAAAAGGTACTCGGGATCAAAAGTTTTTTTTTTTATTTCATTTTTTCTTGTGGGTGAAAAGGGAATATTGCTGTATGTTAATACATTTTCTCTGTCTCCTGGTTTTCGACTTGACTAAAAACTACCCCTTAATATCTTTAATTTTGGGAAGAGGAACTAAAATCTAGTCCTTGCACCTTTCCTTGTGCCACAAAGACGCGTTCACTTTGAATATTAACTCACTTTTTCTGCCCAGCTAAACATTATTACAGAATACCTTCTGATTAAGTATATGCTTGGCTGATGAGTAAGAAATGTGGTCTTTTAAGGCAGAGGAGAGATTTGGGTGAAATCCTAACCCACCTGTGTTAGCATGGTAAGCTATTCTATGAATGAGAAGGAGTAGCTGGGAAATAGTCACCTCCATCCTACTTGGTGAGTTATCTAGGCAGTTGTGGCCCTGAGAGCCTTTGCACCTTCTCCATGTAAGTGCCTAGTGGGCCAGTTTCACTGTATGGAACTCCTCCTCCTTGGCTGAAATGGAAGGTTTCTTGGGTTTTGTTTTCCACAGGAACTGTGCTGGGTTTATGTTACTTGGTTCATTTGCATTTGGGCTCAGTGTTGCAAACTGGAAGTGGTGAAGGCCTCAGAGCAAATATTTGGGAAATGTTTTTGTACGCTACAGTATGACTCTTGGGTTTTAGTAGACTCTGTCATTTATCTGTCCTTCAGCTGCTATTTGAGCTTCCAGCTACCCAGACCAGAAGAAGCAGAAAAACAGGAAATGCTGCTGTTAATGGTGCAGTATTTGCGTTTGTTTGACAGGATTTGATCGTCATCTTCTGGGTCTCCTACTCATAGCACAAGAGCAAGGCCTGCCAGTGCCAGAACTTTATGTGGATAATGCCTTCACAGCTAGGTAATTCGTGTTCCGCTCCTGTTGAGAAGTTGTATCCCTTGGTAGCAAGGACTTGGTTACATTGGCCTTATGTGTGCTGATTTCTTGATCTCTAGGACAAAATAACTTTGTTTGTAAAACTCACTGTGTTTTAAATTGTTTTTTAAAGTGCTGGTTTTGGTTTGTGTTGTTTTACAGTGGAGGAGGTGGGAATTTTGTTCTTTCAACTAGTCTGACTGGCTACACTAGGTTTAGTGGATCTGCAATCCCTATGGTACATCATGGCTATGGCTTTTTTTATGCAATCAGAGATGACAGGTAAGGATATAATTTAATTTTGTGCATGGTTCTGTCTCTGTCACAAAGGGAAAGCTGGCTAACAACTAGAATGAGGAAAGGAAAAGACAGAAGAAACATGGCCAAACGTGTCAGATAAGGTTGAGAAGTGAGGTATATGAAAATAGAGGTATTAACATTCTGGGAAAGCATGTGTGGGAGGAAGGACGAGCAGCAGAGGTGAAGTGAGCACCAGGGTACTGACAATAAGCAGAAAGAAAAGAGTGGGGAAGGTGAAAGAAGGGAGGAACGAAAGAAGTTAACTTACTTTAAAATAAGCTTTTGTTTTAGAGATCATTAAATGCAATGTGGAAAGATGTTTTTTAAAAAGTAGCAATTGTCTGAGATAGACCAGGTAGAGTACAGGTGAGCACACTGTCCATCATTCTTGGTAGTGATGTACACATCTCTTGGCTCAAAGCAGACCTCTGTGATAACAGGGAGAAGCTAAAACATTTGGCTTCACTTCTCATAAAATGGTAGGATTTGAAATTATCCAACTTTGGCTTATTGGTCTGACAGACAAAAATTATTGCTGCTGTATCAAATCTTGATACAACTACCTTGATTATAATGTGTTGCGATATCTTGCTATTTTGTGATTTAGGTGTAATTTGGATGACTTCTTTCTAAAGCTAAATATAGATTATGTGCAGATTTGATTCAGTTTGAGAAAAAAGTATCTAGTTTCAAGATGTGTCAGCATTATTGCTTACTGAAGGCACTGGGGATCTGAGTCCCATTTGACTGATGAGACAGTGCATTTATGTGACAATTTTTGCTCCGGAATTTATGTCGGTAATTTCACATTTCAGAGCAGTTTGTGTGACTTACCCTAGACCATGACAACTGAGAGTGGTAACTTCATTGTTTTCTGTATCAATAGGATTGTCGCTACTTGTTCTTCTTGGAAATCGTGTCCAGAGACTGATGCAGAATTGCTGTGCAGAACTGTGTTCCAGTGTTTTCAGGACATGCTGCAGTTAACAGTTACAGCTCAGCTGTAAGGTTGATAATGATGTGACAGCCTTTGCAAGCGCGTGAGTTATATGTAGTACTTAGGAATGAAATGCTACTCAAGAGTACTGTTAACTTCAAGTTAAGACCTTGAATGATCTATGTGAAGTCTACCTATTTTTATGGGGTTTACTGTGGTAATTATACCCATTTAAGAGTAATGTAGCCATTTGCAACAACAATGCAAGCAGTAGTACCTTATCTGTGTAGAACTATGCAATACTAAAATATGCCTCAACAATGCAAACATACTTGGGAGACGGGGTGTTGGAAGTGGAGAATTTATGGGAGATCTGTATTTATGGTCTTAGTAGTAACACGTAGAATACTTTGTAGTCTACTGATACTGTTATGCCAGTGGAGCACTTAACTATGTACTTAAAAGTAACCACACTATCTTCTTAGGCAATTATGCTTCCTATTCATAGTGGTTTATGAAATACAAGGGCTGCCTCCACCAGGCTATATGTTACGCTGTAAGTTATCTTTCATTTTTGCTATCGAGATTATACCAAATAAATGTTTTATCTGTGAATGGGGATGTTCCCACTACATTTGTAACACGAGAGCACTACAATGTGAAGTATTTTGAAAAAGGACGTCTCAATAATGAAGACGGAAAGCAGCATATGAGTTCAGAATTCCTCAGAGTTTTCATCTTCTAGTGAACTGGATGTCTGAGGCTTTTTCACCAATAATACACAATAAAAGCCAGCACTGAATGCAGTTTGATACAATTCTCAGGATTTTAAGACTTGATTCCTCTGTTTGAGCAGCTTTGTATTTTCCTGTCGTAGAAATAAAATTCTTCTAAAAATCAGCTTTGTACTGATTGATTTATGGGTGGACTGTTTAATGTGTAGCAACTAAACATTGTGAAAGAGAGATGATCTTGGGGACAGATGAACTTGAAATACAGATTCTAAAGTACCCATTGTTTTCTCTTTTCTCTAGTTTTTGGAGTTTGGAGAGAGATCAGAGATTATTGTTTATTATTGTTACAAGGAAAGGCTGAGGGAGCTGGGCTTGTTCAGCCTGAAAAAGAGAAGGCTGAGAGGGGACCTAATATATGCTTACAAATACCTTAAGGGTGGGCGTCAAGAGGATGGGGCCAAACTCTTTTCAGTGGTGCCCAGTGACAGCACAAGGGGCAATGGGCACAAACTGAAGCACAGAAAGTTCCATCTGAACATGAGGAAGAACTTCTTCCCTCTGAGGGTGATGGAGCACTGGAACAGGCTGCCCAGGGAGGTTGTGGAGTCTCCTTCTCTGGAGATATTCAAG